ATTAAAATTCTAATTAATGTCCAATAACTAAAATTAAGAGTAGAATAACTGACTTTCAACAGAAGTTAAAGAGAGAATATAATCAGTTGAAAATACATTGAAAAGATAGTGTTTAAATGAAAGTAAAAGACATTTGGAACAGAATGAAAAGCTTAATGTGGAAATAAAGTCCTGCTAGCAGAGAAGAGAAAATGAGAAGAAATAATATTTGATTATTGGCCAAAAATCTTTTAAATTATTTGAAAGTTATTAAGATATAAATTCAAAAAGCTCTATGAATCCCAAGTAGATTAATACAAAGAAAAATGTACTTGGTATATCATAGTAAGACTACTAAAAATCAAAGACACAGGAAACCTTAAAAGCGATCAGATAAAAATATACACTACTTTCAAGGGAACAAAATAAGTCTAATTGTTAATCAATTAACAGATGTGAATAACTTTGGGAAACAATATTATGACATATATGAAGTTCTAAAAAGAAAAGAAGTGACAACCTAAAATTTTATACCCAAATAACAATAATTTTATAAGAAACACATCTTTCTTTCCTCCCAGAAAAGTCAAATTCATTATGAATAATCTGTAATGGATATTGTGACATGTCCACTTGACTAGCCTGAACCACATTTCCAGAATTCCCTTTCTTGTATGCTTCTGACTAGGGTGGATAATAGGAAGATGCCACCAACCCTCCATACCCACAGGTTTTGCATGTGTGAATTCAACCACATTGTAAATATTCTGAAAAGAATGCATTTGTACTGAATATGTACAGGCTTTTGTTATTGTCATTATCCTTTAAACAATATTGTGTAACAACTCAGCATTTACATTGTATTAGGTATTGTAAATAATATAGAGATGATTTAAAGGGTGGTATATGAGAGGATATGCATATATTATATGCAAATACTATACCAATTCACATGAGGGATTGAGCATTGCAGGGGTCCTGGAATCAAGGGAAGGCTGTATTCACCTTGTCAAAGACCTATAATACCACCAGAAAATTCTGTTGATCAAGCAAACTTTATAGAGCCTTATCAGTGTCTTTAGAGGGGTAAGTTAGAGAAGAGTATTTATGAAGTTTAGAATTCTGGATTCACAAAGCTTAAGGCATATCTTGCAAGGTGAGGAAGGGATTGAAATTAAGTGAAGTTCATGATATAATATTTTAGGTCTGATGGGCATGTAAGACAATAGTCTAGAGAAATGTTTATAAAGAATGTACAAGTAAATTGTTTACCCAGATAAGCAAACTGCTTGCCTGTAAAAATTAGCTTGCAAAATTTTCCTTGTGCAAACACTAAAGCATTTTATTGGTCTATAATAATATCTTCATTGGAAAGAATTTCCTGGGGAATAAAAGCAGTAACATTGACATAAGTGGTTTCATTTCTTAGTCCCATCAGTTAAATTTATATTGATGCAGGTCATTTCAATTCTCAATACAATAGAATATTACATAGCAAAGGAAACAAACAGTTGACTGAAATGCATTGATATCGATGAATTATAAAACATAATGTTGAAAAGAACCAATACATGGTAATCGAAGTAAAAAAAATGGTTAATAGGTGTTATAGTTTAGATATGGAATATCCCCAAATAGCCCATGTGTTTAAGTCTTAGTCCCCAGTCTGTGGTGCTATCTGGAGGGAGTGGTACCTTTAAGAGGTGGAAATCAGGAAAGGCAGTACCCCCAGTAACCTAACAGGTTACTGGGGGTATTCAACCCGCTCACCCCTTCCCCTCTCTTTTTGTTTCCCAGCCACTGTGAATTGAGCAGCTTTGACCCACCATGAGCTCCCTGTGAAGTTCTGCCTCACCACCAGCCCAAAAGCAGTGGAGCCGACTCACCATGGACTGATACCTTTGAAACTGTGAGCAAATAAATCTTTCCTACTGTAACAAAAAGTTGATTAACATGCAGGACAGCATACCAGTTTATATCATATAGTTCTTGAAAATAAATGCATCAACAATATTAAAGAAAATCATCCCTCACAATTGAATAATCCTACTACTTTTTTTGTCTGATTCACTTACTTTCCATTATAATGTGCCTGAGCCAGGTTATCTTATTTCAACAGGCTTTCTTGGGCTAATGCAAAAGCATTTTTTGTCTGTCTGCCTGTCAAGAGTTCTACTTCTTACCGAAAGAAACTATGCAAAATAATTAGATATGACTGGAAGAGAGACAGGGCATCCCTAGTGGCTTTGAGAGAGAGGCAGAAGTTTGGCAAATCTTATTAGCATGTGAGACTGTTTTCCTCCAGAGATTTCAGTCTTTTCATTGTGAATTTTTAACAAATGCTGTCACTAATCAAGAAAAGCACTTATCAGCTTACCTTAATTTGGCACAAAAGCTTACCTTTTACCTGAATGTGGTGCATTCACAGCTTTGCTGTGAATAAAAACACTTATTGCAAGCTACAAATACCCTTGCCTTATATGTCAACTGTTGTATAACAACTTCCAAATGACTCCCATGAAGAAGACAGGGAGGAGAGAAGACAAGGAAATCATCATCATCATCATTATTATTATTATTATTATTTGAACTTGAGACTTTGTAGCTTTGTTTGAGGCATTATATGACCCTCTTTTAGAACTTTTAAAGAATGTTCTTATAATTTATGCCGCTCAGGAACTAAACTATTTGTTTTGTACCCTGAATGAATGGAGTTAGAAATAGTTAGAATACATCTTCTAATTTTCCTAAAATATCTGTATTTTTTGGTGATTCTTGGAAAATGCCTTCTCAGAATAAATAGCAAGATATTCAAATAAAATTGTCCTAATCAATTGTCTTTACACTGATAATAATCCATGGATTTATTATTAATACCAATTGTATTTAAATCTCAATCATGAGAAATGATTGTTTTGTCTCTTTTGTTAGAAGCGTCATTGGATCCTAAATTTAAATTTTCAGAGGATTTTCTTATGATGAGTTAAAATATTCTACATCCCTCTCCTCAAAGTAGAAATTATTTAATAACAAGTAATATCTTATCTGGAAAATGGAAAAGAAAATGCCCTATCATGTAGGTTAATGGTTTTCAACATGCAGTTTGAGGACTAGGAGCAGCAACATTACTCAAGAACTTGATAAAAATGGAAATTCTCAGGCTCCAATCCAGATTGGCAGAATCAGAAGCTTGGGGAATGGGATCTTGACTTTGGTCTGTGTATCTTTGATCTTCAGTGGGTTTATTGGAGCATGCTTACCAGTTCAAATGCTTTTATAGCTTCTTTTGGATCACATTTGTTAATATTGTATTAGCCATACAAGGCTGAACCCAGAGTCAGAGTGGGAGGACATGGGGAAGGGTATGGAGAATGTGGACACAGGCAGTGGGGAGAACTGGGATTATTTTTTTCAAATTATCACAACATGCTTGATTTTTACATTTGTCAACTAATTTATTCAAGGGAATTAGATATCTTTGGCTCACATTAATAAATCATCTACTTTGATTCAGCTTTCTGAAAGATGGTTTTTAAAAAGGCAGCATTTATATTTTTTAAAAAATCTGCCTTTGACAAAACACTGATCATGTGTGATTTTTATTAGATATTATAAATCAACCATTAATGCTTGCCTGGGAAAAAAAATAACCTGTGTCACTAGATATCTCTTGGGAAGGATCCCAGACCATTACAGTCATCTCAGGGCACATTTAGGAACCACTAATTATTACAACGGCTATCTTTGATCAATTTTAATGTTTTCACATAGACAAACCTCTGCTTTATGCAATCCCATTAAATATAAAAATCTTCTGTTCAGTATTATTAAATATTTATGATTGTGTCCAAAATGAATATTATGAAAGTAACCAGACCAGCATCACTCTTCAAAGTAATTTCTTGAAAGCATCATAAAATGGAATGAATTATTGTTTACTCAGATCATTTGAATTGTATTTGTATCCATGAAATTTACAAGTTAGGCTTTTCTCTGTTGTCTTTACCACAGTTGATGCTTTTTCCTTGTATTTTCTTATGTCTCATTTATTTTTTCATCTGATTCCTTTGGATTGGTCATGACTGTAATAGCATTTTTATTTCCATATTGATATTTGGCAATTTGTATATTAGTGAGGAGAACCCTAAGGATGAGGAGAAAATTAGGTCTGTTGATGTATGCAGCACAATGCTTTGTATCCTTGCATATTGTTCTCAGCTTCTGGGCAACTCTTCCATGGAAATTTAACTTATTTTGTCAAAAGATTGCCCAATAATACCCGATATCAATGAACACTGAAAAAGTAAGCCTCACATCAAATGTACATTTAATTTTACTTAAAAGAACAAATTTTATATTCAAAATCCAATTGACAAAGCTTTACATAAACTCATGCCAAAAATCTGTGTACCAGTTACTCTGTTTGTTTAAATATAACCTGTAATCTGGTCTGGGGTTGTGGCTCAGTGGTAGAGTGCTTGCTTAAGCACATGTGAGGCACTGGGTTTGATCCTCAGCACCACATAAAATAAATAAATAAAATAAAGGCATTGTGTCATCTACAACTAAAACAAAATTTAACAAATGTAAGCATTAACAAGGATGAGCAAACCAGCATCCCTATCCATCTTGTTATCTTAATCATTACTGCATAATCTTGTATGTTTAAGAATCTGAAGGCCCTAACAGAAACGGCAGAGGATTAACTGTACACTTAAATTACCCTGTCCTTAAAGTAAGGGTAGACAGAGCCAAGACCTAAGTCTTCTTTTCTAATTTGTAATACTCCCCATTTTCATTAAATAAACACATATTTCTTGGCGATGGTCTCCTATTATTTGTAGAAAACATGAACATGAAACGGAAAGGTTATTTGAAGCTGGAAGGCTGAAAACAGGTCAACAGGAGAAAAGGGGGGAGGGGGAAATGTCCCTTGCAAAACTCCAGCCCACAAACCCCGCTGTGGCAGGGTCAATCTCAGGAGGTAGAGGCATGGGCAGGTGGAGCCTAGTTATCCCTGCGCCTCAGCACTGCAGCCTCCAGAGATGTAGGTGGCGCTGTAGCGTGGGCCGGGTCGAGCGCGCTCGGTTTCTCTCTCTTGCAGGCGGCGGAGCAGTCGCAAGCGCGGAGAAGGGGAGACCCCGCGGTAGGTGAGCGGTGGCGGTGGGTTTCCGGGTGGAGGGACGCTGGATGGGAGTGGGCAGGGCCGCTGCTTCTTTCCAGTGTTACTGTCAGGTGCCGTGTACTTTGTGGCGTAGGTTCAGGCAACCCGACCCTGCCGCTCTGGGACTACGTGAGCCGCATGCCCTGTCTCGGAAATATGCGGCCGCATAGAGCCCATTTCCCTGACCCTTGCGACTTTCTCTGCTGTTTCTTTGAGTCCCAGCTCACCAGGCTCTCTTATTTAGGGGAGTGTGGCTTTGTAATTTCACAAGATTCCCGTTTCTTTTGTAGCTGTGCGTTTTCAACCCCCTAGTACAGAATCTGGAACTTAATCGACTGCAGTTGCTCCTGGAGGCTTCAAATGCACCTATCTTTGAGTAGGTCCTAAGTAATTAACGGAAGTGTAGGTACTACTTTGCGGGGAAGCCAAATAGGTTTTTCAGGATATCTGCAACAAGCCCTTGACAAAATATTTCTCCTTTTTTCAGGTACAGTAAATTCAAGAAATGGAAAGGGATTTTAAAAAAAATTACATTGCAAAGAACATATAGGACCCATTTTTTATTATTACAAATGTTGTTTTAATAACTCACAGATGCAAAGTCCATGTTTTCTTTCAAGTCTAAAGTGAGATGGTATGAGGTGATGGAGTAAGGAGTGGGCTGGAAGTGGGGTGACCTGGATAATCCCATCCTCCTAGCAAAGAGGCAATCACTTTGAGTTTGGGAGGATGGAGGATAAGATGACAGTAGTAACTTTTTCTGGAAATCTAAAATCTATTATGCTTTAAAAAATGTTTTCATTTAATTCGTATACATTCGCATCTGTTCTGTGCAATAGACAGTATTACTGCTTTCATAAAGGTGAAGTCTGGAAATCAGAAGTGAAACCTACTCAAAATCACAGTTTAGAAGTGGTAAAGTTGAAATTTGAGACTGCTAAATTCCCTCAAGCCATAAAGTCCTCTGATTGTCCCAAACCTGTTTGTACTAATTGAAATTATTTTTTTAAGTTATTCTGACCCAGATATCAAGATATCGTCTTATCTCCTTTTTTTTTTTTTTACAATATAGTTCCTCATGTGTACTAATCATCAAGTTATTTAAGTATTAAGATACCGTGGTATATGAAACTAAAATATATTTATACTCCCAGTAAAATATTTTGTCCATTTTAAAATTTCCTGATTCTTCTAAAAGAAATAAGAATAAGTGCACCTGAATAGATTGTGCAGTCAGTAGTGCCTGATTTATTATTTTGCAAGTGGTCCTGCACACAAATTAGTCACCAAATTAATTAGGAGTGGTGCAATGTCAAATTTCTATCATTCCTGCTATCCTCTGTGTGTGTGTGTGTGTGTGTGTGTGTGTGTGTGTGTTTTATGATTCCCTCATTTAAATCTAGATTCAAAATAAACAGATTATAAAAGGGAGTATAACTAAATATTTGTTAAGGTTATATGCAAATAAGTGCTAATAACTCCTGTGTGTGTTGGGGAGAAGTTGGAGAAAGTGATGGGAAGACTTAGAAAGTCTGATGGAAGTGTGCCTGATGTTAACTGGTTTTGTCTTAGGTATAGTTCACTTGAGTGGTAATATCAGTTATTGCTGTGCTTTTAACTTATAATTATTTTATTTTTTTGGTACTAGAGAATGAACCCAGGGCACTTAACCCACTGAACCATATCCCCAGCCCTTTTTATGTTTTTTGTTTTGTTATTTTTTTTAATTTTGAGACAGGGTCTTCCTAAGTTTCTTGGGGCTTGTTAAGTTGCTGAGTCTGGCTTTGAAGTCTCTATCCTCCTGCGTCAGCCTCCTAAGCTGCTGGGATTACAGGTGTGTGTCACTGCACCTGGCCTTAGCTTAAAATTTGTGCAACTTTTTGAAGTGGAACTTAACATTAGTTCTGCACTTGAAAATAGCAAGTCTGCTTTTACTTCAAGATTAAAAGTTTGCTTGTTGATATAGAACTTTGTTTTCCCCCCAAATTCTGGTGATTTATACATCTATGAAGAGTCAACTGAGATTTTTCATGCTGCACACTTGTTTATTCAACCAGTACATCTCTAATTCCCACATATGCACAGTTCTGTGGGCCAGGCACGTACAGAAATACAGAAGAACCTTCTCTTATGGGAAAATATTTTATTCTTTTAATTTTTTATAACTACATATAACAAATTCTTTATGATATTCTTTATGACCTCAGTAATCTGAGTGTTAAGAATTCTGTATTAGGAGCTGGGGCTGTGGCTCAGCGGTAGAGCACTTGTCTCACATGTGTGAAGCCCTGGGTTCAATCCTCAGCATCACAAAAATAAAATTAAAAAAGGTATTGTGTCCACCTATAACTAAAAAATATTTTTTTAAAAAGAATTCTGTATTAGATGTATAAATAAGTTCAGGACATTTTAAAAATAATCTAATGTATTTTTATACATATAACTATGTATTTGATGTGTAAATAAGTTTAGAAAACTTTGGGAGAACAATTGTAACATCTTCAGTTTCTGGCTCATAACAGGAGAAAGGACCATAAAACTGAGATGTCTTACTTCTTACTAAAGAATGCTAAAAAATGAAAAATGTTACTTTCATTAACTCCAGAAAATATCAAAAACAATGGAAATTGTAGCATATTAAATTTTTAAAAATATACATGTGGGTTTCCAGTCCAGGTGTTGTGTGTGTGTGTGTGTGTGTGTGTGTGTGTGTGTGTGTGTGTGTGTTGGGTGCTGGGGATCAAACCTAGCCTCTCACTCCTGCTAGGCAAGTGCTCTACCACTGAGCTATCCTCAGCCCCAGTCCACATATTCTTTGTTATTTCTAGTGAAGAGTTTAGTTTAACATAAATGATGTATTATTAATAAGAATTTGGATATGGATGTTGCAATATAAGTGCTACCTTGATTGCTTATTTCCTTGATTCTTTATGAAGGAAAACTAGGTTCTTCTAAGGGAAAAAGAAGATCAAGGAATCTTGTAACTGAAATTTAGCCATTACAATTCAAGTTAGAACCCCAGATAGTTTTTTAATAGACACATCTCATATTGGTTGAATTTCATGATATTAAACATTACTGCATCCCTTTAATTTTAAAATACAGGTTGAGCATCCCTAATCTGAAAGTCTGAAATACTCCAAAATTCAAAACTTTTTGAGTGCCAACATGATGCCTCAAGTGGGAAATTCCACACTTAATCTCATATGACAGCTTGCAGTCAAGACACAGGTATACAACACAGCTTATTCAGCATCCCCAAGGAAAATAAGACCCTCCTTGTCTTCAGCTGCAATATATCTTTTCTCCACACACCCAGATTCTCTCACAGAAGCACACCCTCAGAGGGTTATAAAATGACGTGTGCAGGCCCATTGTGCCAACAGCAGATTCCCCAGCATGTTCCACATGGGGCCAAGACATACATGCGTTGTTAGCAGTAGTTTTTTGCATATTCTTTGCTCTACAGTGTAAAAATCTTATTGAAAATGTCAAAAAGGCCTGCAGATGTTCCTGTGAGTAACAATGATAAGAAAAAGAGGAAGCATTTATGTTTATCTATAGCACAGAAAGTCAAGCTATTGGAAAAACTGGACAGTGGTATTAGTGTGAAACAACTTACAGAAGAGTATGGTGTTGGAATGACCACCATATATGACTTGAAGAAACAGAAGGATAAACTGCTGAAGTTCTATGCTGAAAGTGATGAACCAAAGTTAATGAAAAATAGAAAAACATTGCATAAAGCTAAGAATGAAGATCTTGATCGTGTGTTGAAAGAGTGGATCCGTCAGCGTCGCAATGAACACATGCCACTGAATGGTATGCTGATCATGAAACAAGCAAAGATCTATCATGATGAATTGAAAATTCAAGGAAACTGTGAATATTCAACAGGCTGGTTGCAGAAATTTAAGAAAAGACATGGTATTACATTTTTAAAGATTTGTGGTGATAAAACAGCTGCTAATAACAAAGCAACAGAGAAATTTATTGAAAAAGTGGATATCAAAAAAGTTTTTCATATCAATAATCAAGTTCCAGTTGTTCATTCATTGACCAATGGTGAAATACCTGAAATGGTTCTGCATCAAGGTGAATGTGATAATAATGATGACAAAGGGGATGTTAACACTGCAGAGAAAGTGCCTGTGGAAAACATGGTCAGACTGTGTGATGGGCTTATTAAAGGTCTAGAGCAGCGTGCATTCATAACAGAACAAGAAATCATGTCAATTTATAAAATCAAAGAGAGACTTCTGAGACAAAAACTGCTGCTAATGAGGCAGACAACCCTGGAGAAAACTTTTAAAAAAGCCACCCAGCACAATGCCTCCTCATCCCTAGAGGAGCCACTTCCTGGCCCCTCGGCAGCTTCTGATGATTCTTCTCGTCTAAATAAATAAAATAATGTACAACAGCTTTTTAATCAAACATTGTTGCAGGTGGAAACTGAAAGCTGCTATTGTTTAACAACTGGTGCCACTGTGCTGCTTAGTTACCTTAAACATATTACTTCTTCACTATATTAATTGTATGTCCTGTTTTTTCCTGTTAAGCACTTATGTGTGAATGAATTCATTAAAATGATTGCTCTCTAGTAGCACGTGAATTCAGAGTGGAATGATGGTGATGCCACATAGCCACAAATTATCCACATCGGTAATTGAGATAGTGGCACCTTTGCTTTCCAATGGGTCAGTGTACACAGATTTTCTCATGTATAAAATTATTTAAAGTATTATGTGAAATTACCTTCAGTCTGTGATAAGGTACATAGGAAGTATTAAATGAGTTTTGTGGTTAGACTTGAGTTTTATCCCCTATCTCATTAAGTATACAAACATTCCAAAATTTAAAAAAAATTCAGAGACATATCTGGTCCCAAGCATTTCAGATAAGGGATATTCAACTTGTAGTGAAATTTTTGTTGGCTGTAACTGTGTGTGTGTGTGTGTGTGTGTGTGTGTGTGTGTGTGTGTGTGTATTTTCCCCTCTGAATTCCTGACACATTGTCATTGCCATCCACACAGTGTTCACGATAAACTATGCTCTGAGGACTCTTCTGTGCTCCATAATAATGTGCTCTCCATACCTACTCCCCTATTACCTTGTTTTTCTTCCCCATGAACAACTTTAATTCATTTTTATAGGATATCTTTGTTTTAATGACATGGAGCTGTTTTCATCCCTTTGTGTCAGTTGCTGATTAGAAAGCCTTGCCTTTGTAAATTTGCCTTTTTAGATCATCCTAGTATTTTTAATTTTTTTTGTTGTAGGTGGACACAGTATATTTTCATGTGATGCTGAGGATCAAACCCAGGGCCTCACACATGTTAGGCAAGCACTCTGCCACTGAGTCACAACTGCATTCCCTCTCCTAATATTTTTATCTAATGTCCTAGTGGTAGTAAACTGAGCTTGTGGATTCTAGATTCTATTCTAACAGTACAGCCATATGTCAATCATTTCCTGCCTAATATTTCTTATAGATATATCCTGTTGGTGGACTGAAATGCTGTTTACACTTCACTAATTTTTTCCTTTTGAATTTTCTCTTTCCCCAACATTCCTATTCAAGTGTACTTTTTAATACAAGGAGAAACATCATTGATATCTGTCTTCAGCACTTGGTGGCCAGTATTTGTTACTTAAATTCTAAACACATTTGTCACATCTTCTATCCAATCATGATGATAGGAAGGTTCAAAGGGATCTTTATTGGAAGAGTGATGATAATGGAAACAGTAGATTGCTGTCCCAAGATAGGAGAAATAGCAAAGGTATTTAGCATCATTCCCCCTACATTGTCCATTATTTTTAAAGATTGAGCCAAAATTGAAGAGAAAGTTTAAAAATATTTTAAGACTAAAGCAGAGTTGAATGTGGGTCCTTTGGGGGTAGTAACCAAGAAGTTCATGCAGGAAATGATCATTTAATTGTTCTATTTCTGCAACATAATGCCTCAGATTTTTACTAACTTGGCCATAGTAAGTTTCAGCTGACTGAACAAATTTTAGGCGCTTTATGGAATTGCTTCAGATGTTGTCTGTAGTGAAGAAAACAGTGTTCCTGAAAATTAGTAATTTGTGTGTAGGAGAAATTTTAAAAACAAAGACCAAACAATTGCTGGTTACAGCTTGAATGGTGTTTTAAATGCTGATGAAACAGGTATACTCTACCAGTTTGTGACTTTCTTTTGTGCTTCATGACAGAGACGATCTTTTAAAAGGAAGTAAACAGATTGGTAGTCGCTATATTCTGCTATAGAGTGTTTTGGACCACTCATCATTGGCAAGTCAGCTAACCCCCATTGCTTCAGAATTGTTGATTTGTTCTCCTGTAATTAACAAGCCAACACACATGCCCAAATGATAACATTTTTTTTAGGGAATGGCTGAGTAGGGAATAGCTGAGTTAAGTTGACAAGACAATGAAAGGAACAAAATTCGGTATCCTCTTGCTGGTAAGAAATCGCTTTGCCTACAACGTATTTCCATGTTTGGATTGCATATAAGTTGACTTTTTCCCATTGAATTGCACAGCCATTCTTCAGCCTTCAAATCTGGGATTATTCACACAGCAAAAGCTTGCTACTGGAGCCAGTTGCAGGAATAACTAAATTTAGACAAGGAAGAAAAAGGCTGAGAACATCAACATGAAGCAAACCATTGACATGGTTGTTGAGACCCAGTGGTCTGTAAAATCGTGTACAATAGTAATATGTTGGCAACTAACAGGCATAATTCCTGTGGAAACCTCTGAGGTACACCTGGAAAAATATACCAACTCAACATGGTATTTGAACCAATCCTAGTTCTAAATTGCTACTGATTCTGGTATCCTCAAACAGCTATATTTTAAGACTTCATGGCTACGAATAGCAATTTATTTCCCAAGTGTTTGCAGTACATGAAATTGCTACAGGGATTCTCACTAATTTAAAAATGGAACCAGAAAGCCATGATGGTGAGAAGATGATGACATCAGCAATGATAACTATAACATGTATGGGGACCAAGAGATAGAACAGCCAACAAATATAGAAAATGGAGAATCCCATCCCTTCAGGCAGATGTTTCTATGAGGTATTTACCCTATTGAGTGGTATAGATTAATGTTTTAGGAGCATTGCAGCATAAAGTGTTTTGAAAAGCTAAGCACCTGATTTCCTCCAAGACTGTTAAATTGCAAAAAATGTTGCTTTTAAAGTATATAAAATAGAAGACTTAATAAAGAATATTTGTACAAAGCAACAATTAATGTTTAAATGTGAGTTTTATTTTTTATTTTAGGTACCAGGGATTGAACTCAGGGGTACTCAACTACTGAGCCACATCCCCAACCCTATTTTTTGTATTTTATTTAGATAAAATAAATATTTTATTTTATCTAAATAAAATAAAATATTTTATAAATAAAATAAACTCGGCTCTCACTGAGTTGCTTAGCATTTTGCCTTTATAGAGGCTGGCTTTGAACTCAGGATCCTCCTATCTCAGCCTCCCGAGCCGGTATGGGCCACTGTGCCCAGCTTAAATGTGAATGTCTGACTCTTATTGACTTTTATTGTCATTAATTTCAGTTTGGGGAAGGTTTTTGTTTTTTTTAACCTCCTCCCTTTCAAACCCCAACTCCTACCACCACCACTATCCCAGTATTAGATGGCAGGAATGATACCTGGAAGAGAAAAACATTCTCAAATTGTTGACTATTCCAGCTAGGACAAAAGACACACTTCAATTTAATAAGATAAATTTAGAATAGCCAAGAGATGAAGGGATATTTAGATTAAGGACATAGCAGAGGATGTCCTTCCAGGGAGTTGCTAGTAGACAGAGGGGGAGTGAATAGAAATAGCTGTTTCCTCTTCTGCTTGGGTGGGCCAGTGGAAAAAGGCAGAGGATGAGGGGAAAGTAGGCCAGGGGTAAAGCTGTAGGAGATATTAAGCAAAGGAATGGTATAATACTTCCTTCAGATTGCTGTGGAAGGGCTGTTGGAAGGTGAGAAAAAATGAAAAGAAGAGTAAATAAAGGAATGGATTACCCACTGGCCTCTCTTTCCCGTAGCCCTTTCTTCTTTTTCTTCTTTTTTTTTTTCTAATTAGTTATAGATGGACACAATGCCTTTATTTTATATGTGGTGCTGAAAATCGAACCCAGTACCTCATACATGCTAGGCAAGTGCTCTACCACTGAGGCACAGCCCCAGCCCTGACTTCTTATAACAGGTAACAATCTGACTCAGACCAACAAATCATTCTCCAGACTTCTGCCCACTTTACTGGGGTTTAAGAGATGAAAAAATAATAGTAATAACCATTTTAGCAAACCAAACTTAAAGTGCCACTTAAAATCACTTTTGATGCATACCTGGAATTAAGAAAAAAAGAAGAATGAGTAGGGCTGGGGCTGTAGCTCAGTGGCAGAGTGTTTGCCTAGCATGTGTGAGGCACTGGGTTTGATCCTCAACACTGCATAAAAAAATAAATAAAGGCATGCTGTCCATCTACAAGTATAAAAAAAAATTTAAATGAGTATAAGAATGATCTTTTAAATTTCTTCTAACTAGCCATACATGACAGTAGAATGCATTTTTGACACATCACACACAAATGGAGTATAACTTCTCATTCTTCTTGTTGTACATGATGCAGAGTTACACAGATCATGAAATATATGCACACAGGGTAATGTACAATTCATTCTGTTCCTACCACCATGCCCCTTTCCCTCCCTTCACTCCCCTTTGTCTAGTCCAAATTACCTCTATTTTCCCCCCCGGCCCTTATTATGAATTAGCATCCACATATTAGAGAAAACATTCATCCTTTGGTTCTTTGGGATTGGCTTATTTTGCTTAGCATAATATTCTCCAGGTCCATCCATTTATCAGTAAATGCCATAATTTCATTATTCTTTAAGGCTGAGTAATATTGCATTGTGTATATATATACCACAATGTCTTGATCCATTCATCTATTGAAGGGCACATCAGTTGGTTCCATAGTTTAGCTATTGTGAATTGAGCTGCTATAAACATTGATGTGGCTGTGTCACTATAATATACTAATTGTAAGTCCTTTGGGTATATGCTCAGGAGTGGGATAACTGGATCAAGTGGTGGTTCCATTCCAAGTTTTCTGAGGAATCCCCATACTGCTTTCCATAGTGGTTGCCCCAATTTGCAGTTCACTGGCAATGTATGAGTGTACCTTTTTCTCCACATCCTTGCCAACATTTATTGTTGCTTGTATAAGAAATATTTTTAAAAAAAGGTTTATCAAAGAAACAAGTATGAAGGAATAATGTATTACTTTATTTTTAGGTAATAAATCGCATTAGTCAAGATGTCTTCAGCACCTGAGCCACCAACACTTAAAAAGGAATCACCCAAAGAGAAAGACTTTCCAAATCCAGGGCTCAGAGGGGTACGCACGACGACCTTATTTCGAGCTGTGAATCCAGAGCTCTTCATTAAGCCTGTAAGATAATACATAATCCAGGATAAGACTTTATGTTTAATTAGGCTATCTGAAATGGAAAGTTCTTTTTCTGTAGCATTTGATTTTATCATGGAAATTTTCTGTCAATTAGTAAGTCCTCTCTATGAATAAAAGCAAGTGAAAAAAAATTTTAAATCCTGTTTCATGTATAAATAACAGATTAAAATGAAGTATTTTGAGGGCATTTGAGAATTATAATGGAAAATGATTATTTTAATGGATCAGCTTCTCAAGATAACATACTGATTTAATTATTGCACTATTTTGAAGGTAATTCTTTTTTTAAAAAAAAATATTTATTTTTTTAAAAGTTGTAGTTGGACACAATATCTTTATTTATTTATTTTTATGTGGTGTCCGGGTTTGAACTAGGGCCTCGCCTATGCTAGGCGAGCGCTCTACCACTGAGCCACAACCCCAGCCTGAAGGTAATTTTTATAGTTTGATCATGTACTATTTGGTAAATAAGAACTTTCTTTGTTTTTTTTTTTTTTTAAAGAGAGAGAGAGAGAATTTTTTAATATTTATTTTTTAGTTTTCGGCGGACACAACATCTTTGTTTGTATGTGGTGCTGAGGATCGAACCCGGGCTGAACGCATGCCAGGCGAGGGGGCTACCGCTTGAGCCACATCCCCAGCCCCAAGACCTTCCTTTGAAACAGACAAAAATGGAAATTCATTGTTCTTACTGCATTTCCAGCTTTTATTAATCATTACTTAAGCAATATTACATTTTGTGAAAAAAATCCAAACCATACATTTGCACGCTGTTATGGAGATAGAAAATCTTTTATATTCTTCTGTAAATTAATGAATATATTTGATTGATTAATTTTATTTTTAAATAAATGTAAATTCTATTTTATAAGTAAATGAAATCAAATTATATTAAATCTGATTAGAGGGCTGGGGATGTGGCTTAAGCGGTAGCGCGTTCGCCTGGCATGCGTGGGGCCCGGGTTCAATCCTCAGCACCACATACAAAACAAAGATGTTGTGTCCGCCAAAAACTAAAAACTAAATATTAAAAAAAAAATTCTCTCTCCCTCTCTCACTCTCTCTTTAAAAACAAATAAATAAATCTGATTAGAATTTTAATAGCAGTTGCCAATGTAAGCTGTTTTAAAGCTAAATAGGTCAACTTAATTAAATTAAGATAGATTGTTTTAAAGACCAAACTAATGTGTTTTTTAAATTGCCAATAGAATTTCAAGAATTGCAAATTTAAACTGCTCTGAGCTTGCAGCTTTTTAAAAGATATTCATTCAAGTCAAAAACTTTAACTTTTATTCTTTAGCAATTACGATTTGAAGTAGTACAATAGTCACCCCTTACCCCTTATCTAAGTTTTTGCTTTACAGAGTTTCAGTTATACACTGTCAGCCATGGGCTCAAAATATTAATAGACAAAACATTACTCTGGAAACTCCTGTATTTAAAAGTTTTTTATTTTATTTTATTTTATCCAAGGCTACATTGCTTTGCTTCTATGGTCTTGGGTCTTCCACTAGTACATCAAAGTTATTATAACAGTATAATATCTGTTCCAGTCACTAAATTTAGGCTCCCAGAAAAGTGTGCATATTATTATTACTTCTATGCCTAAAATAGGTTATAAAAGGTTTTTTGACAGTTATACATGTCTTGGGCAAGAAAAACACCTTCTGTTCTTCATTCTTCACTTTCTAATTAAATAAGCTACTATGAGATTTGCAAGTGGAAAGACTTGGACAAGATAAATTAAGCAACTTCTTTGAATCACATAGATACCACTGAAGACTCCATACCAGACCAATGTCCATGCCTCACTCCTCTCTCACGTGTCACCTTCCTGAGGGTGGAGATCTAAGATGTCCAGGCTGTAGAGAGGAGAAGCAAGAATCTTCTATAATCTGTAAACAAGAGTCAAGCTAATTGAATAAATAATTGAGTAAATGATAATTGAAATATTGCCATAGGAATGCTAGCCTGGTAATAAAGACTTGGTGTGTCAAGAGGATAATGCAACAGACAGCTGAATCTCCTCAAATTATTGTCCTAATGAGACTTTATATTTTTCTTTTTTCTTTGACAGAACAAACCTGTAATGGCTTTTGGATTGGTCACCCTTTCACTTTGTGTGGCTTATATTGGTTATCTACATGCAGCACAAGAGAATAAAAAGGACCTCTATGAAGCAATTGATAGTGAAGGGCACAGTTATATGAGGAGAAAAACTTCTAAATGGGATTAAAGGGCTGGTTACTGCAGTGGAACTTTATTAAAGACTCTGAAATCTTCAAATGAAAGCTTTTCGAGTGTACATAATCATATTTCTTATTCTAGAATATGTTAATGAGAAGAGAAGGGAGCGGTTGTAGCCAAATGACTACAGTAAATTTTGCCCCTATACAGCTGCAGCCACTGTCTTATTTTCCTTCCACAGAAAGAGCATCTGAGTATTTCTCTTTTATTAAATCCTCTTTAAAAAAAAAAAAGACTTGAGGATAGAGTCATTGTTGTTAATTATTGAGCTCTGTGTGATAAAAGTACTCAGTGCTGTTAAGTGTGCATGGACGTTTTCATGTTTTAAGGTGAGTCGTGCTTTGTAGCTATTATGAGAGCTTTGTTTTGTTCTGTTGCATGCAAAAATAATGTGCATGTTCTACATGGCATAGAAGCTGTATTTGTAAGAAAGGAGAAATCATAACTTTAAATTCTGAAGTCAACATTAAGGTATGAGAAATGAAAACTGAGTTTGACTCTGACAAATAGTTCTTACAGTCACAGATGGCTCCTGTATTTTGGTTTCATTTTCAACTGTTTTTGGTTCAGAATTGTATTTAAATTAAAAAGATATCCCCTCAGTTACTAAAATAATGATTGAGAGAATAATACCAAGTAATTGAAATTTTTCTTTTTAAAAAAAGGTTATGAGGTATTTATTTGACTATAACTAGATGCTACTTGCTTAGTTTCTATGATGTTATAAGCATAAGACCAAGTATTCTTCTAATTATTTAAAACTACTCAATAGATGAGAAATAGACAAGGTTTTCTTACTATGCTAGGCTTCCTTATATAATTTTAATTTTCCTGATAAGGTTCTGGACCTGTTTCATTGTTAGATATTTGCCCCTTTCTTCAAATTACTGTAGTTGGGGCTCAGCAGTAAATCTCATCCCTGAAGTTTTGTTTCTTTTGTTATTACCAAGTAATAATAATAGCACAGGCAGTTTGTCTTCATCACATTGGTTTTAATTTCTAGCACTTCAAGTTTTGCAAGGTATGTAAAGATGCAGTTATGTCTGAATTTGTAGGTGTTAAAGAACATAGCCATTTGTGTTTATCTACATGGATCTAATTAAATCTTTATCACTAAGCCCTAAATATTTCTTTGCTATACCTCTCCATATATTATACTTTGTATCATTTAAATGCACTTATATGGTACAAATGCCTTTTAATTTAAATACCTTTTGCTTTTGATTTTCTGTGTATTTTGATTGTCATAGAACTAGGATTCTTCTGTTTTTAGCTTATGTACTTATTGTCATGTTGCCATCTTTTAGAAGTCTTTTATGATTCAAGAAAATAAGTTCACATTCAGTATAAGGGGAGATATTACTTGGGTGAACAATTATCGCAGTCCAGAAGAGCCACAAAACTATATATTATGAAGCCTTAAGCCATGTCTGTGTGAAGGAAACAGGGTAGCAACAGACACAGTCAAGCACAAAGCTGTGAAAATTATTGTGAGGGAAGAATCACACTAAGTTTTAGGAATGAATACCTAATTATAAGACTTCCTACAGGCTGGTTACAGGTTATATCATTCTTGGTGTGAGCAGAGTGTCAAAGGCAATGTATTAATGTTTTCATTCATTTTCTGTTGAATGGGCATAACAACCTCAAATAAAGTACCCTTTGAAATAGTCATAGGATTTTGAACATTGGACTTCACCTAGTCCAGTTCTGTCAATTTACAGTTAAGATAACCAGCTGAGTGTTCACTTTGGCAGCACATATATTAAAATTGGAATGATATAGAGATTAGCATGGCCCCTGCCCAAGGATGATGCACAAATCTGTGAAGCATTCCATATTTTTATGATTAAAATTATTTTTTACTCCTTAAAAAAAAAAGATAACCAGCTAAGAAGAGTTAAAAGATTTACCCAATATCTCCAGTAATTCTCAGGACAGGAACCTGGATGTCCTTGCTCTAAAAGTCTAGGGAATCTTTTCACCATATTAAACTCCTCTTATGTATAAAAATCCATGTAATAATTAAGTAGTTATATTAGCCCTTAAACATAAGATATTTGAGTCTTAAATACAAAAAAATCCCTATATTTTAGAACACAAATATGAAAAAGATTATTAATTGCCAACTCCCCCACAAGACTATCAGAACAAATTGTTGATCAAACAAAACTAAGTTTATTAAACCTACTGCACTAAGAAGCCTCTTTATCATAAAGTCAGTTGTGTTTAAGAATGGGATTTGAAGGAAGGAAAAATCCTACATCACATGGAAAATGAACAATATGTTACTGAATGATCAATGGGTTACAGAAGACATAAAGGAGGAAATCAAAAAATTCTTAGAGATAAATGAAAATACAGACACAACATATCGGAATCTATGGGACACAATGAAAGCAGTTTTAAGAGGAAAATTCATCG